AGACGACTTCTGAGTACAAGCAAACAATGACTGTGTGCGATACCTCACTATGGCTCAGACCACAAAGCTCTGCTGAATAGCTAAACACCACAGATGCACTGTAGCACCATTCCTCGGCCACAGTGACCCTAACTCAATCTCCCTGTCTGAGCAACCCGACCACAAGCAGCTCAAGCAAAGATTTCAAAACTTTGGAATGCCAGTGGCCAAAACTAATATGGCCCTTTGACTCTGTAAGCCTTTATAAAAAGCTTAACTTGAATGACTCAAAAATAGAATTCCTATTACCTAAGAATAATAAACAGAATGGGTGGAAGAGAATGCGAGACACTCGAAGTTCAATTTTGAAGCAAACGACTGTGCGTGCTTCGAAGATGCTGCTACATCTGAGATTTGAACGCGTCAACATATTCCATTTGGTAGCGACAGTATGGACTGCAAAAAACAATAGAAAAAGAGAAAGTAATGAAACAATCAATGGAGTTAGGAGCCCTGCTGATGCTAAAATGTGAGTTCGACAATGCAAAAATCATGAAACTAATTTTAAAATAATTTTTCAGTTGCATTTTCTGCACAGAAAACACAATATTACACTATTTGATGATGTTATTGTTTGTGCATTGCAATTTAGACGGCTATTAGGTGAAATAATTTTTTTGTGTCTCCTCCCTTCGATTTGTAACAAAATCATTTTGTTGTTTTTTTTCTCCCCTGGTCTGACTGGTATTATTGCACATTCATTTGATAGCTAGACAATTATAACTGACAGTTACTGAGCTGGATTGTAATTTATATTATTGCTCCATAATTAATAGAAATATGATTTAGTCTTGAATCAGATATCATGAGTCAAACTGAAATAATTTTTATGGAGCAAATTATACCTCCAGCTGAAAATGTTGTTTGTTAGTTCTCTCAGCAGGCTTTTAATAAGGGGCTGAGGAAAGAGGACTGGATTGCACTTTCACGGGAGGTTTATTGCATTCATAGATGTTCTCTCAAAACAACCAGAAGCCCAGGAAAAAGCCATTCACATCTCTTTTAGGCTCTCTAAGTACCTTGACCTGTGTATCTTACATTCCTTACATGTGATATTATGACCTTATGCATGTATTTTGTTATCAAATGAATAATAACGTTCTGTGAAACCACTGTGGTAGCTGTTCTGGAGACTTTTTACTGCTGAGAATGGTGGCCAATATAGCTCCTTAGACTACTAACCAGTAATACGATTCTAAAGTGCTGCATAGAGAGGCTTCTGAACTCAGCCCTCTCTGCTCTGACAGTTGGTGTGCGCCAACATCTCTCCAACTTGGTACAGCACATGTAGACTCCACACAATGCTGTTCCCACAGAAGCCCAGGGACACCCCGGCTACATACTACGTCTGTGTGTATTCTCCAAGACGGTGCAAATGGCGCTTCTCTGCAATATGTAGACATTCCTTCGACACACATAGCTAGCATTCTAGAGGCCCAGCAATGCACCAGTTGATTGGCACAAGACAGATGAACACAATACACTTTGTCGCTAAAAAACCGTGACCTTTGTGCTGCAGCTATGTGCAATTTCATGTGATTCTTCTAACTGTATTTTGTAGTTACCTTGGTATTCCAAAGAGAGCCCAGTCACCATGGGAAGGAAAATAGCTTGATTTTAGCTGTTTGTACATGTACTCTTCCTCTTCTAGTCGCTTGTAAGAGCTCATGGCCATAGGCAATTGTTGGGATGTAAATAAAAGTGAAGAATCAGGAGCCACAAAACCGAGCTCTCTCTTCAAAAATCGAACATAATATCAGCATCACTGCGAATTTCACACAAATCTGCGCAGACATGTTGCTGTACTGAAGCCATGATCGCTACAAAATTATTTGCTCAGACCAGATGATGACAACATACAGATTCTTTTGTTTGAGATATGTCATGTTAGCCTACAGTAGAACATAGATCATCATCGGTTTGTGAGGTAGCAGTGTGCTGGAAAAGTAGGTCCGTAAGAAATGTTGTGAGGCAATCTTATGTTGTAATTAGTACTACTTTGGTCAGTTAATGTACAGCAGCACAAAGTAATGAACCACATCCTCATTTTACTACAACCCCCAGCATCTTCCAGGGAAGGATGATCATCTATCTGCTTTTGTCTTAAGTTTTGCTTTCAGCAACTTTAAATCAACCTCCATAGTTTTAGTTTTCTTGTTGGATCTCCACATTGTCAATTAATATCAATCAATTAAGCGAGGGCCAAATCCTATTAGAAAACTTAATATGCTGCCGTCCAAACACCCACACCAAGGTTTTGGCATATTGAATGAATCCGCTAATGATGAATTCATTTTTGTTTGTGTTTCACAATGGTAACTTCTCCATTTAGCTTCGTCCTGCTTCAGTAATTACTTCTTTCGAGTAATTATTTCTTATTGAATACAATTTCCTTGAGCCCCATTTGAAAGACGTGCTGTCCCTGACACACAATGACATCAACACGGAGTGATTTGGGCCATAAATGAAGTTGTCTCAACATGTCCTTGATGTCCTCTCCCAGGGTTTTGTCACACAGCGTAAAATCTAAGGTGTGAATTCTGCAGCTCCCCAGAGGGCAACGCTGCATAACTATGACATCAGTCCATAAACTGTGGGAGCATGCACGGAAACAAGCACACATAAACTGCAAAATATTTCCTGGTTTGTTGGCTTTATGGGCTGCAGTGTGTGTGGACCATTCGAGTTTATGTCACATGAAAATAATGAGATGTAAAAAGGGTAAGGACTCTTGACACAATGACCACTAACCCAGCGTGTAAAGCATAACAAATCCACCTGTGGCTCAGAGAAACAGTGTGACATACACTCATAAGCTATAGCATGTATTCTATAACTGAGAACAGCTCATGCATCGACTGTGTAATGTTCTGCTTCTACTTATTATTCCCACTCCTTCTTGCTCTCTTACATATAGTTTAAGATAACACTGGAAGGCTTTGGCAAACACAATGACACTATCTTCATCAGATAAGTGGGCTACTTGTCGATCACTGTGAGGGCTTTGAGACAAACATTGATCGAGCAGTAGACACAGGTGAAAAGTTCCTATATTTCATCAAGATCAAACCCAAATTTGGCAGGAGCAAAGTATTTCAAATTGAACAGAAGCTGCTACATCCAGCAAAACAGCATATACACAACAATGCATCCATTAGCCAACAACAATACCCATCCCCTCGCTAAAAACTCATATTTACATGTTCAAGGATATGCTGCTTATTTTCATCACTGTTGGATCCTGGTGGTTGTTTTTTGTTTTTTTTTGTCTCATTCTTAAAGATTTGTTGACTTTGTCTCTCTCTGACCTGAAGCTACATCCTTACAAATACATTCTGACTTTAAAATGGTGTTTTAAAGTGAAAGAAATCTCCATGATATAAGGTATAAGACCATTCAAACATGAAGCAGAGGGATGGTTGCCTTGCTGTAGACAATATCACTGAGAAGGAGCTGCAATGTAAGCAATGCCTGTAATTCATTATCCACATTGAATCAAATACTGGTAGTCAACGTGGACGTCTTTGTTTTCTGCTGAAATACGGTCAAATGATAGGGATCGGATAAGTAAACATAGGGGCAATTAAGACCCAATGTGAAAGAAAAAATAAGTGTCTGCATTATTGTTTCCAACAAAACCAAACTAAAACAGGTCAGCAGTGGTTACAAAAGTGTCTGTTTAAAGGGTCCTAAAATGTCACAGCAGTAAAATGAAAACGTATTAGTGTAGCTGTTGTCTGAGTCCATGTATGTTTTTATGCTTCTTTCCGCAGTTCTACCCAGCTTGCCCCAGCTGTTGTAATTTCCAATAATTTCACGTCACCAGTGGAATTGTCTGTTTATACAACGTAGTCTAACATGTACTTCAGCTCCGCTATAAACTGATCATCTGTTTATTTAGTGGGAACATGAGTCTCACTCTGTACAATCCACTCCATCTTCCCTAAAAGAGAGTCTATTTGCATCCCTTTCAAAGTACTCCACACTTTACATATTACTCACGCTGTGGTCTGTCAATCAAACACTTGAGTCATGCTCTTTATATTTACACTGCCGTTACTTCAAGTGTCAGCAAACAACAGTATGCATGTGCACTTCTCCTTGGTATAGAGTAAAATCATCAGCATGTGGCTGTATATAGCGCTATAGATCAAATTGCTTGTGGTTTGACGGTTCATTTACACATCAAAATCCAACGACTGTCCCTGACTTTGAGAATCCCAAGGGTGTGACAGAGCTGAAAATAATAGTTTCCAAATACCAGTCACCCGTGACACTCAGTGAAGACTTTTGTTGGTATTAGTATCAACTTAGTCTCAACCTGCTTTTAGACACCATTGCAGATATGAAGATATAACGGAACATGTAAAGTGTACGGCTACTTGACAACAGGGCCAAGGTCAAAAGTAGCAACAGCAATGACAGAAGAAAGAAGTATGAGAGAGACCTGGGAATAGAAAAAAAAGGGGGGAAAAGACCTAAGGGAACAGGGGGTAGTGAGAAATATCAACAACTGTGACAGCTGTGTGGATATGGTGAGCTGAACCACAACAGGGAGGTTCCAGGGCAGGAATGCAGAACAGATCAGCCAGACAGTGGCTTGTGCTTAGGTCCGACATGGCAGCCAGAGTTGGGGCACAACACACAACAGCTGGTTAATCCTAAACTTCTGCCTTGATACCCCCCGCTCTAAAAAGCACAACCTGTTCTCTGAAACTACTCACTCCTTACTTCTTCTATAGCTACACATGCTTGATCCCTTCTGTGTCTGTCACTCTCTTGAACTAAAATGACATGCCACTTGTCAGCCTCCGGCACAGGTTGTATCATAGTGTCACAATCTTGAGCTGAGTGGCAGTGCAATGCAGTCAGTCACAGTCACAAATGAAAGGTATACGGACGCCTTCATGTATACGACTGACATCCAGATTGTCAAGAGATCAAACACCAACTGTTCTTACCTGCTACAGAGTTTGGCCTCGGCATCATGAGGGAGGATGATGTCTGTGGTGGGTATGGAATGGGTCCCTCAGGTGTGTGACTTGGAGGCTGTGGTGGCCCTGGTGCTCCTGCAGATACGTTGGCCTGCTGCTGCTGCTGCTGGTGGTCTGTCCTGGATGGGGTGTCGGCTGGTGTTGCCGTGGCACTGCCAGAGTCTTCCTCAGCCACGGGAGAGCAGGTGTCAGCCCGCACACTCTGTGCCAGGCCATGGCGCCCGCTGCCTCTTAGGCTGCCATCTTTACTCCACTCCAGGCTGGAGCCACTGCGGTCGTCATTTTCTGAAGAACTAGTAATGGTGGCTAAGAGGAGAAGAAAAAAAGAGCAGACAATTTGAACCATTGAGGGAGGTGAGATGAGGGAAAGAGGCAAGATGCTTCGGAGTAATGCTCTTTGTGTGCCATGAACATTTATCTGTCTTAATCTCCAGTAAGATACTGAGCTGTAATGGAACTTTTACCTTTGAATAACACACCGCTTTTCCACATTGCCCTTATCAACACTTCTCAGAAGCTCATTTTATATTTACTGCGACAGTCTGCTTGCACTAATGAAAACTGGGAAGCCATGATGGGGGATAGATTTGTGGAATTCATTTCTTGAGCCTAGACTCTTCTAATGACTTTTGTTCTTTTCAAGGATCATCAGTTCGGTACTCAAGGATTCAATATCACACGGTTTAAATAACAACTAAATGCGGTAGCATGGAACGAAAGTCATACTTAAACGTGTCGAAAAAATATAAAAGAGGAGCAGAGAACTATTTTTAAAAAACATTTTCGAGTTCAGACAGGTGTTTTGCTCATATGAGAACAAATCCTTTAATCCTCCCCCAGGCCAGCGCAGCCATCTAACACAATCCTAAAAGCCTAGTGGAGGGCCAAAGCTACACAATGACAGGCAGCTGGATACAGAAACATCAGTACAGTCAGAGGACTGGAACTGACCGGCCAGCTGGCTATGTTTGCATCACACACTGCTAATCTGGATTTCATAATGCAGCAGTGGGTTGCATCATCACTGATATTAATATAAGCGACACATCCTGGATCTTGTGATTCTTGTGCTGTTTACCTGGGCAGATATGAAGTCACTCATAACAGCAGTCACATCTAGCCCGGCACTAAGCATGGTATTTAGCCACATCTTAACGGTGTAGAAGAGGCTAGAGTAATTGCTGACTTGGTTAAAGTTTAGACCCTATCAAAGAATAAGTTGTTATTATTTATTAAAAGCTAGAGATACCATGTCTTTTTATCATATTAAGAGCTGGGTATAATCATTACTTAAGGCCTGTTAAAAGTCCTCCTCCAGGTGCCCTTATGCCGGAACTCCCGTGGGAGCTGTTTTGTAAATGTTAAGACATTGCTAAACCTCAACAATTCCACCAAGGAGCTTTTAACACAGTACAAAGCCAAATTAATGTGCTTTTGAAATCAGAGTCAGAGTGAAGCTTCAAAGAACAGAGAACATTAATCACAGGCAGGAATCTGACTTGTGGACGCACCGTAGCTTTGTTCTTTTTCCTTCCTGCACAATTTTATCAAGGTGGGTGGGTGGGATGTTGTAGACCAGTGGTTTATAACACTCCCCCCAACCCACTCCACCCACCGACAAAAGTGCATCGTGGCTGAGCATAATGTCATAGTCAGCACTTTGACAGTTCAATTCAATAGGATGCATGCCTTCCTCTGCTGCAGATAGAAGACTCTACTAGACAAGTACTGCCAGTGGAGAGACACAGCCTCAAAATGTGCAATACACACTGGTGAAAATAGAATGGCAAGTTGACCATGGGCAAAGCAGTTGAGGATCCTGAAGTTGAGCCTGTTCAAAAGGTCTCTGATAAACTGCTTGAATGGTTTCCATCAGTGACAGATTGTGTTGCACTACTTGAGTAAAATACAACTTCAAGTTGGTTTCACTCATTTTGCTGTGTGTCTGTGAGCAGCTTATACACATTCTCTGTGACCAACACAAAATGCAGAGAAGGGCAGAGAGAGATTGGGGCAAGAATTACCAGTAAGAACTGGGTTTTAAGGGGCATGATATTGTTTTAAATTAGCTAGACCAACATCATATCACGGTATTCCCTCATAAATTAATTCTGATTTGATACAAGCAAAGTAGCTTCAGAGTGACACGGACTCCAACACATTCAACATGACTGTATGTCTGATCCTGGGTGGCGTCAGTAATCTAAGCTGAAAGATACTACATCACAGCTTAAATAAATTATTTAGCAGATAGCGATGATATTGCTCTGGGGGAACAGAATGACTGACTCACGGTAATCAGTTATGTCAACTCTGGAGTATTGGATTTCAAACTGTTGTGTTATATCAGGCTTTGGCACGCATTGTTTTCTACTGCAGCATTACCATGTCAGCCAGTTAAATGAAAGAACATAAAACACTATATTCTTGTTTGTTCACACAAGGATGAGAGGACATGTTACATCTTTCTCCCACCTGCTGACTTTTCTCCCCAAATCTACCAGTGCCTTGAGGAAAAAAAAGAAAAAGTTTTACTGTGGATAACTGCAGGATCGTGCAGTTCCAATTTTCTATTCAATGCTCACTCCAAATATTCAAAACCCATTTTCAGAATGAAATCCTAACATTTGTATAGCCACTGGGGGCTTTGTGAGTAGAAACGTCAGATGAATTAATGCATCAATAGACTATGCCATCTTCCTGTCAGCTTGTGTAAATCCCCAGATGTCTTATAGGGCTATTACTAGAGATACAGCACGACGTCAAACTGTGGCAACTGTCACCTCAGCGCTCTCTCATACTGGAACGGCTCTATACTGACATGGTAGAGGATGAATATAATGTGACACAAATGCTATTCAGTCTCAATACATTTAAAAGAATGCTAAATGACTGACAGAACACAGGTGTGTTTTCTTTGGTCTAAATCACAAGTATACATGAGGTAATGGTATGAGCTTGATTGGAAACACTGTGTTAATATATAAGCAGCACTGAGGAATGAGTGCTTAAGGTTATACCATGCAGATTAAGTGATACTAAGAGGTCTTCAGAGCTGCTGGTGTTACCTCTATTACTGTCAAACTCAACAACCGATGTAGCCACGAGGAAGCTGGCAGTGGCAAATCAGACGCTGGTGTGAGATTTTTGTAATTTCTCTGAAGTGGCTTTCTAACAGACCTTACTAAGTAATGGACTCACTGTGCCTGGTTGTGCACAGCAGGAAGTTTCTAACAGCAGTTTGAAGCTGGCTATTTTGAGACTTTCTGTAGCATGCTGTACGAGGGTTGGTCAAAAAGTTCCAAGACTGTTCAAGGTATTCCAACACGAAGCGTCTTATTGTCAACAGCATATGTAAGTACTAGCTGTCATGAGTCAAGATGTCACCTTACACAGCGCTCTCCACTTCAGGATCTGTGTTACACATATTTTTGCAACCAGTGGTAGGTGTACATTTGCGATTTGTGAACAGAGAAGAAAACATCACATTCTGTGAAAGTCAGCAGCCTGAGATGAGCCAGTCTTCCTGTCAGGGATCATCACTGGTGATGGCAGATGGGTCTGCAGCTACTACCCAGAGAAGAAGTGGCTGTTTTTAAAGTGAAAGAGCCCGTCGTTTGCAAAATCAGAAACGTCATGTCTGGTAAAGGTGCACCAGGAGCATGCTTGTTGTTTTCTTCCACATTCATGTGGTTATGCACCAGGAATGTGTCCCCCAGTGTTGGACTGTAAACGCAAAGTTCTATTGTGGTGTTCTGAGATGTCTGAGGGTGAACATTCAGCACAAATGGTTTGAACTGTGGTGCAATGACGAGTGAGTGCTCCAATGCCATGTACGCATGTTTTTTGATCATAACAACAGAATTGTCATTCTGCACCATCCTTTCCTGAGAGATCTGGTTGCCGTATGACTTGCTCTTCCCCAAAATTAAATTCAAGTTGGGGCTCTGACACAAGTTAAGAGATTCAGCACTCATCGCACACAGTGTTTGACAAGTTTGCATCCCAGGACATCCATGGAATGCTCCAAGTATTGCAGGGTTGATGGGAGCACTGGGAGTGGTGTATCACTGCACATGGAGGCTACTCTGACAGCAACGGCAGCCACATTTAAATCAGGCACTGTTTTTTCATTAGCACTCTCACAGCGTTTTGATCAGCCATCGTATGAATATGGGTTTAAAAATCATTGTCTTTTGAATAGTTTCACTTTTGCATTATCTTGAACGATTGAAGACAAATGCTTCAAACACAAATGAAGTACTACCTAACAGTACACAATGTTTTCATCACCTTCAGCTCCTATATTGTTTACATTTTACTTGCTAGCAGCCATTTCCTTTCAGGTTACATCATGCTGCACATTACCGTAGCCAATGATCAGTGGACTTCCACTCATAAAACACCACTCTACAGCTATGCTATTGGTCAAGTCTCCACTGGGTACCATTTAAGTGCGGCCATAATGATTTACGAGTGTCACAAGTTTTTCTAGTACCATAAAAACCGCCTTTGGGGAAAGATGACAGAGTTATTAGATAGTATCAATTCCTCACCTATGATCCCACTGTCCTTGCTCTCAAGTGTGGAACTGGGGCTGGTGATAGTCCCACAGGGGCTGGAGCGGCTGAGAGGGGGACGGCTCGTCGTGCTGTTGAGGGTGGAACATGGGCTGTCAGTGCTGGGAGACGCCGTGCTGCTTGTCAGTGTGGAGCAGGGGCTGATGCCCTGGCTAGTCAGAGAACACTGGGAAGAAGGAAGGAATCAACAAAATGAGTTAGGGTCGCCAAGAATGTGCTCTACCGATCAAACATGTCAATGAAGTATGAAGTCAACTCAATATAAACGATCAGCTGGCAACAGGTTCACATTTTTGTAGCATTAGCAGCAATAAATACAACTAAAATACACTTCCAACCCTATTTGGAGAGAGAAGTAAGACAATTATGTAAGAAGTGATTTGATATAACTTCACAGTGTGTTTGACCTGGGTCATGAGACAGCAATGCGAAATATTCCTTTACAAATAAACAAGTGTTTTACATGCGAGCATGACACACAAGCCGAAGGGCATGGGCACTGTAAATGGAGCAGGGCTTGAAAATTACACACTCATATAAGGGAAGAAGTCTCTACTTTGTTGTGACACAATAGATACCTTTCTCATGTCATCAAGCCTGTCTGACAACCATACAACAGCTGAATCTTTGTTGGAGATAACTGACAACCGTAGAAATCTAAATTAAAGCTGGTTTGTCCAGATTCTTCCTTCAACTGTAGTCTGATTCAAAACACAATACATTGTATGTTAAGAAGGTCCATCATCGGCCCTGTGAGAAGAACCACTTGACACCACAGAGTCTAATTATCACTCTGTAGGTTGTGAAGCAGCTCCTCTCCTATCCAACGTCCCTCATAACTTAAAATTTTCCACCTTTGGACAATTTATTCAGCAAACAACACTAACTTTACAGACAAAAAGACACTTAACAACAGAGCCCATGTTACAGCTCTGTGACAGTTCAAATTTCTATCTCTTAAGCAAATCAGAGGAATCCTTACATACATAGATTTTATCAATCACACGTTTCCACATAAAGTTCTTCAGCAGCTGTTACTAGTCAAAGGTCAAATTAAATCAATCCTCATCTTCAATTAACCAGCTTTGTTGCAGATATTTGCCTGAGGGACTTTCACCTATAGCTGCTTGTCAAGTAGCACTTACAACAGAACAAGGCAGTGCACTGCCTCCAACTCGCCCACTCAAAATTTCAGCAACCAATCACGAACCATTCTTCACCCAAAAAGGCTCTTTCATATATTGCATATTGCTGTAAAATTCCACCCTGCTACAATACCAACAGTACTTATTGTACATATGTATCGATTATGTACTGATGAGTCTGTTGTTCTTTCTCATATTTAACACACTAGGACAGGTTTTCAAAAATAACAAAGATAGTTTTTTTTTTTATATAGTGGTAAAAAATATCTACTATTATTAAACCTGACCGAATTCTTAAAATAGTAAGGCTCACCCAAGCTTTGCAAAATTTAGCGAGATATGTGACTCACCTCTCATTCAAGGTTTGATGCCTGTTGCTGTCTGAAGGTTTACACATTTGTACGATGGATAGTGAAACAACACAAACAGCAGACTGGGAAAGGATGCTGAACGCCTTGCAGCATGATTAACAACTTGTGGAATGCCAATATAGCTGCATAACGTTTTGTATTTTCAAAGTCCCGCCTATTTTTACGTGAATAGTTTTGTCTGTTTATGTCACTTAACAAACCCCACAAGAGTCGAACGCCTTACTGACATTTAATAAATTACCGCAAGGCACAACTAAAAAACACGCTGCGTTAAAGACCTGTTGTAAAACAGCAGTATGAAGGAAAAGAGAATTGCTGGCAGATGACAGTAATGTGTTCCTCCTCATCTGAGCTCTGAATACACACACCTATATGCCAGAACAACAAACACAAAGTCAAATCTATTAGACTCTTATGCTGCCTGTCTCCTCTTGTGACATCTCAACTAATGAACATGATTCATAAAAATACTTTTTAAGCCTCTTACTCGTCCCAGAATTGCCAGTTTAGTGTCAAAACGTGTGCGAGACACAAGATGAACAAGGAGAGCGTAGCGTGCCGGGCTTTGCTCTTCACACAGCCCCAGCTTAATTAGTAGAGCCAAACAAACTGAGGCTCAGACCTAACATAACTCTATTTCTGGACCCCAGCTCAGACGCTCTTGTTACATACTCAAGAGCCCCTGGAATAGCACTCAAGTTTCTGGGAGACTAACACACCACACTGAAAAGCTTGCACAGAAATAAAACCAAATGCAGCCCATTTTAAATATGCAGTTACTTCCTCCAGAACATATTTAACAGTTCAAACAAAACAGTGTGACAGTTACCGTTGCTTGTTGTGACAAAAAAAATTTAAGTCCCAGAGGTGCCTCTTAAAACCTTATCCATAACGCACAAGGGGAAAATGAATCAAGCTGCAACCAAAAAATAAAAAAATCCATTCTACTGTTACACTGTCACAACTAGCTTCTCCCCTCATCCTTTCCCTCTCTCCTCTATCTCTCTATCTGTGTGCTGCAGCAGTGGCAGCAGCTGCTGTTGGACGAGGGAGGGAGTTGGAGGGGAGGGAGAAAATGAAATACCTTCTTTTCATTCTTGTCGTCCATAGGTATGCGTGCCGTACCCGGGATCCCTTCTCCCAGTAAAAAGCCCAGCCTTGTCATCAGTTCCTGAGTGGCAGGGGAGGAGGAGCTTGGCTGTTTCTCCGCTTGCAGCTCTAGAGACGAGAGGGAGAGAGAGAGAGAGAGAGAGGGAGAGAAATGCTCAACATTAGCGGGGCAGATTCCCTCTCTCTACTGGATGGCCCACACAGGGCCACACTCTCTGCCCTGCCCTCCTCAGCTCCGCTCTGCTCTGAAATGCTATGCTGCACTCTCCAGCTGCTGCTGATGTGGTGCAGACCCATAGAGAGAGAGAGAGAGAGGGAGAGAGAGGGAGAGAGAGAGAGAGAGAGGGAGAGAGAGAGCGAGAGAGAAGGGGAGAGAGAGAGTGTGTGTGTGTGGCGGGGGCTGTGGGATGAGTGTATGAGGGTTTTTTGAAAGAGTCTGAATATATGTGAATGTCTAGCATTGTTAAGAAAGCTAAGACTGTGTGTGTGTGTGTGTGTGCTGGTGTGTGTGCATGTGCATGTGCATGTGTGTGTGTGTGTGCATGAGCCCTGCAACACGCCTCGAGTGCCAATTCCAGGGCTTTCTGGTTGTTTACAGCTCTCACTCATGGTGCCTCTGAATATCAATGAGTGGACATAGGCTTTCTCCAACACAGCTTTAACTGTCTGTGGTCCTCGTTCTCAGGCCCTATTACTACTTTGGGCTGCAATTTCAAGGTTGCTGTGCCGTCAACAAGGCAGAGACAACTCGCAATCTGTTTTCCGTTTACACGCGTCGCCCATTCTTATATGTTGAGGCGTAAAATAATGGAGACAAACAAGAGACTTTGCGCAAATGTGTTTTTATCATAATCAACATGTGTAGCATGCAAATCAAGTGTGGATGTCGCAACTGAGTGAAGTCAAAACATTATCTCAGAGCAAGCAGACAGTCTGATGATAGGGTGAGAGAGAGAAAAAGCGAGCGAGAGAGAGAATGTCCAAGGTACAAAAGCTTATTATACAGCTCTCTGTCAGCACCTTTTCCTCCTCTCCTTCATTTTCTCCTTTACCGTCTTTCTTCCACAGTTATTAATAATGTTGACAGTAAATCTGATTAAACACAAACAAGTCCAGTGGCACAACGCGCTGCCAAGCTCCAGTAAAGTCGTAATCATATCACCGGACCCACAAATCTTTGGGATGCAAAAACACAGATAATGTCTTCTCCTTTTAAAGGAAATGCAATCTTATAACTGCTTTTCCGATACTCCAAAGAGCAGACAGTTCCCCGGCTTGGCAAAATTAATGAGTCATGTAACATCCAGTAAAGAAAACACAATTGGAGAAAAGTCAAAAAAATAGTGAGATAAAGTGGTGGAAAATTTACAGCACACACAACTTAACACGCTAAAAAAAAAAAAACGATATTCCCCATCTACCTTGGCAGTGGCCGAACCTCTGTGTGCCACCCGTGTTTCAGACTCATCATTTCAATAACAGCAGAACATAAATACCTGCAAAAAAACTGAGGCTGTACTCTTTTGTTGAATCTTAATTTGTAGGAGAAAACATTTTAAATACATACACCCGGCAAACAACCTAAAATTTGGATCCCTCTGTGTGGGTTTTTTTCTCTCCAACTGTTTAGACTTAACTACCAGGTACCATATTCAGAGGACTGCCTAATGTCGAAACAGACAACTGTAAAACATTCTCTAATCTCTGTCAGTGCTTTGTGTTCTAGCTTAGGCTGCTTTATGTTGCCTACAACTGGATTGTGTTATTCTGTCTGGTGTATCGAGTTACTACTGCATCCTAATCGTTGAATGGAAGCTACCATGTGTGATCCAAGTGATTTCCAATGAGAAGTTTGGTACAGACCTGAAGTCTGTTGAGTGGTTTTTGTTTTATTTGTGATATAGACACATAAATTTGACTTGACTTTGTAAAGCTTTGTTCTTGTTCTGCTGTATTTGAGTCAAATTCTTTGTTATCTATTCACATACTGGATCAATAAAGCAGATTGTGATAGAACACAAAGTTGTAACCATGACTGTAGTCAATGCGTTAAACATGGAAACTTGTTGTACAGAAAATCGACAAGTAAAGCCAACTGATAAACACTTCATTTCTCAGACAGAGCTCTGCCCTTACTATATATTATATTAGCAGCAGTAATTACACTAATATTAGTAATGTCATCCTGAAGGAAATGACTGTCCAATAAGGCTTTAGATGCTATCAGCTTAGAGGCAATAGAGAATAGAGCTTATGAGGCAAAGGAAGCTGATTTGATCCATAAACAGGTTGGAGGAAGCTGCGAGAAAAGCAAAAGAATATGACGTGTCTCTCCCTCAGTCATACAAACTCTAATTCATAGACGCATCAGCACATTAGATCTGTAAAATCACCACAGTGTCAAGGTGGGAACCCAATATTAGAGTCAGAAATTCAGCATCAAACAAAATGGTCACAATCTTCCATCCTGAGTTAGAGAACAGTTTTTGGAGGGCGTTATGATGTGGAAGTGAAGCTGATCTTTGAATTTTTGGATGTAAAATGTCATTACGTCAACATTTGGCGTAAATTTTGTTGCAATCAGCACATGAATTCTTGAATTGTGTGTAAGGTCACACAAAAGCTAATCAGTTCAATGTTGAGTTCAAGTGGAGGTTTGTGCAAACTTGAAAATTCCCTCCAAGCGTTGCTGAGATTTCGCATTCACAAGAATGGGACAGACGGACAGATAAACCGAAAACACAATAATACCTAAGGCCGAGGCTGTCACCAGCACGGAGGCAGAAAAAGAAAGTTATTATTCCCCCATTCTGGATTGTGCCATGCCCTATTCAGCTCAATGAACTCACTCCCACCCCACATTTTGAGGTTGTATATTACATACATACACACCACAGATCACATCTTTCTGCTCTGTTGCAACAACAAGTTCTACTTTCATAATAAGAGCTTATTTTCATGATTCATCTGAGGCTGTTTTTCCCTGAGTATTGGCTGCCAAGCATGGTTAGCCAATATCACATGAATGCAGACAGAATCTTTAACTGAGAAAGGCCTATTGTCATTCATGACGTGAATCCTACTGCTGCTGTATTCACAGAATCAGAGAAAGAAAAACTGCCCACCCCAAACCTCCACCACAGATTGGTTAGCAAATAAAAGTTCTGTAATTTGGCACTGCATATGCCTCGCTGATTGAACCAACAACCTTGTAATTAATTAACAGCCCCACTCTCTCACTTGACCAAGTAACTGAAGTATCTTTCTTATTCCAATATGCAGTGACTCTAGTTTTATCCATTTTAGAGCTGAAATGTTCAATTGCTTCATCCATCAAAAGACTAATTATCAGCAACTAGGCTGAAAAAAAATAAACTCAAATTCTACACAGTGTCAAGTTCCAGCTCCAGCTCTATGCATGCCCTTGGGTTCTGAGGCTTTTGTGTGACAAAACAAGATTTTCAAACACCTTGGATTCTGCAAAGCCGTGACATATTTTCACTGGATTTCTGACACTTCAATCAAGTGATTGAAAAGATAATCAGCAGATTATTCAAAAATGAAGGTAATCATTAGTTACAACCCGATTCCATTAGCTGGACTGTCTTACCCCTGAAAAGTAGATGAATTTTTATCCAGACATACAAAGCATGTCTAATCAAGCTGATTGCATAAGCGATGAGAACTAATTCACCACTAATGTTAGAAGACAAAAGGTTTTTTGAATTTTTACCGAAAACTTTATCATTAAGATGCAAAAAAAAGCTATTGCTGCTGCAGTTACAAGAACAATTTAGTCAAGAAAGAACACACCGTGCCAGCAATTTATCCACGGCTTCTATACAAAACTGAATTAGCCATTATAGGCTGGCTTCGTCGTGTGCCTACATCCTTCAGCCAACAGCAAAATGTGTTGGACAAGATACATGTACTGTAAGTAATGCCAGATATGCACATATCTCTAACTTGAGGGTGTGTGGAATATTTATATTACCCCTTGACACATTTGCCCACTGGGTTGCCTGGTTTCTGATGTTTTTTAACGCTGGCGCTGCCTTTAGGAAAGTTGTACTACCTCACAGACTGCCTTTAATTTTGAGCGACTGAAATATACACAGCTATAGGCCTGACAGGAAACACTGCAATAATTCCATAAGCCCAGAGGTTTCACACTGAATAAATTATGCCTTTGTGTATATTGTAACAGACAATGAATGCTAACATAATACATGCTGTACTTGCATCCTCTTTTTTTTTCCCCACTGCAAATAGAGTGCAGCAAAAAGTCCATACATTGAAAATCAATTCTTTATAGGGAATGTCACCCTGCTCATTTAAATGCTTGAGAGGAGCCTTTTAAGGGCACTGGTGCAAAGACAGTCCTGAGCTTCTGAATGCAGAATGATTTTACAAGTCTTCAAACACCAATATGGTCAAGTTTAATGGACGTAACATTCAAATATCATTTCACCACTTAGCACAACATGCACAATTTAAGATGGTAATTCAGTTTTGAACAGATATCATTGACTGCTGGTTGTAGTCCAATAATTTGAAGTATACAACTGCACATTGTTTATGCTTCATCAACTTTTAGTAGACGCTTAGAGATAATGGGAATTGGTCTGAGGTCTTTAAAAGGGGACACCTTACACATCACACATTTATGGCCACCGTACATTAGCAGACAATGACAGGTGTTTTATTTTTATTATGCGACTCTGCCATAGGTATGGGTTTCGGTTTTTGAAATGCTAATATTACAGATTTGTGATAACTCTGAAGTATGTTGAACCACATGATGTGAAACTAACATTTTTGTTCACTGGCTTTCAAGTAATTAATTTTAGGACATTAATAGAAAAGTGCAGCAAAACGTAGTTGAAGCATTTAGCTTTTATTGCAATAATGTTTAGCCACTGAAAAAGATGTGAGAAGCTGTATTAGTGTGTATTATCGACTCGTTTCTGTTGATTCAGTGCCTCTTAATCGCTGTATGTTGCTGCTGGTCCTCTTCCTCTGTGTGCTTCCCAACCCGAGCCATGAGACTGAGTTGATAGTTTTGGGGTAATTCTGGTTAAATCCATCACCCAGTCTTTATTACTGAG